AGGGACTATGGTGTTCTATTAGCAAAAATCTTTGTGTGATTAATTACGGAATGGCGTCAGCATCAGTCTAGAGTAGAATATCCAATCTCGAGTATGAAGTAGACAGGCATTGTTCACATAAAACTCAAAACCATAAGGTTGTAGCTATCTATCTGAGTCATCTGTGGCGTCTGCAATCGTTTTAATACTGCTTCCCATCCGTACTTTTTAGGTTGGCGACTGATCTACCTCGTAGGTCATTCAGACACACGCTACTACGTGAGGTCATGACGTGATTCAATTTAGCTGGACCCTGCCGGGTCTGGATGCGGCGCGATGAATCCAAGGCAAAAATTAGACAGCACAGCGTGACAATCGTTTAACCGGAGTCTCGCGTGTGCGTATTAAAATTTATGCATGCCCATGTGGTTGTTGACTGATTGAGTTTAGGTGAGCCAGTAAAAGTACAAATGTCTGAATGGGTGGACAGTCTCACGTGGCTTCATTGCACACTGTGAGATGTGGGTAGTGTGTCGGGGAACGCGACAGCAGGGTTAATGGACGTGAATCGACACGATTCACTACAACTCCTCTTTAGACAAAGGAATCGGCGAACCATTTCTTCCAACAGTAGGTCTAGAGGGCAGGCCGTAGGTTTTCTGCGGTTGAAATGTGGCCACTGTAAAGCTTTTTAATGAAAATATTTGGAACTTGAAACGGAGTTAAGAAAAGTCTAACGAGTGACGCAAAAGGACTAATCGAAACTGGGGATGTGCATTTCTAAATGATCTGGTTGAGAGTTGAGAATCAAAACAAATCATGTGCGAGTGAGTTCAAAATGGGGCTAATCAGACGAGAGGTGCATTAGTGTCTAGTTAGTCAAAAATCGGGAAATGAAATAAGATTGAGCTGATAGGAAGCAAAGTTGTGAACAGGCTTTGTAAGGAACGGCTGGCGATAGCACTTTTTGCTTGTAGTGGTAATCATCTATTTACTGTAAGAAGGGGTGTGGATTGGCTGTGCCCGGAATCTGTCCTTTGGTGGCGTCTCCATGTCGAGGAAAGCTAGCTTTAGACTGATAACAGATAAGGCGTCTTCTTTTGCATTGAGTTCGACGATAAAGACTCTTTCTTCGAGTTTGCGTTTACTGAAAGGTCCATCATGGGTGGGCTGAAACGAGTGACGAGTGGTAGTGTACCTGACGAAAACGTTGGTGAATGGGGCCAGTACTTTCGGGGTGTAGACAATAGTGGAGGGCATTTTGGTTGGGGTTGAGGGCACTTTGGTTTACATAGTCTCCTGTAAATAATCGAGGTAGTTGCATGGCTCCAGACATGATGAATTTTATGTTGTGGAGAAAAATGGTTCAGGCAGTCGCAATTTTGTTGCGTTGAGCGTTTCTACAGAGGAACAGCCCAAGCCCTCCCTTACACTAGGTCAATGTCTGAGTTTCAAAAGAGAGGAAATGCGTCCGTCCAGCGACATAGATCACTGTCAGCTGTTAATGTGACTATCAGGTGCCGATGAAAACATTCTACCATACAATTTGACTGAGGGCTGTAAGTAGGAGTTTGAATAAGGTTCATTCTTATGACCGTGTGAGATTTTGGAACATGCTTTATTCAAAATACCCTCTTCATTCTGTGGCGATGGTGGAGAGGACTCCAAACAAGATAATCCATCTGTCCTCGAGCATTTAAGTAGCGGGTTCTTTGGAGATGTCTTGCATTGGAAAAGCGTCGTGCCATTGAGTGAAACGTTCAAGGAAAGTTAAAACACAACGGAAACGTTTCTAGTACGAAAAGATTCCCTCAACATCGGTTTGTTCGTGGCTGAACCATGCGTCAAGAATGTTAAATTTTAAAAGGTCGTGTTATGCTCGTCAACCTTGGATATTTGGTAGCTTACGCAGTTTCAAAACCGCTTTAAAATTTCTCTATTCATATCAGGCTGCGCATAACGATTTAAAATCAGCTTTCTTGTTGCTAGTTGACCAGGATTGGCGAGGCCGAGAAGAGCTTGAAGCACTTGGAGGCGCACTGACTTCGGAACGAAGGGTACAGCACGCCAGTCGAGGTGTTATAAATAATGTTATGTGTAAATGCATACAGAGAGGTATCAGCTAGATTTAAGCCCGTTAGTTGACCTTGGAATTACCGCAATCCTTTATGTAATTGCTAAACGGTCACTATGTTCTCAAAATGCACATGTGTACATGTGTTTACCTAAATTGTCTGACTGCTAGATAAAATGACAGAAGCTCATGGCGGAAGGTAATATAATATCTTAAGCTTCCAATGGACTTGTATATAAAGTTTGCTAACGCCCACGCTAGTTCGTTGACGGTTTGACGTAAGACTGAGCCAGCCGACGAAGGGGACACAGTGGTTAAGAGGGGTAGGGGGACGTCTGATTGCTGGTAAACGTGTGTAGTGGTTTTTGCCAGAACCTACTTTGCTACCGTGAAAGCTTAGCTCACTTTTTCCATTATAGTGATTTTTTAGATCTATCTTTGAGCAATTAACGCCACTACTAACTGGCGTCCTCCTTTTCAAGAAAGTGCTCTAGTTTGAAACTGCGCACCTACACGGAGGTCAACACAGTTCCGTCACACCCTCGAAAGGTTAATGTTAGCAACAGGCAGCGAGACTGTTCACTATAGTATTATCTGTCTTAGTAAAACAGAAATTTTAGACCATCAATTCATACGATTATGGGCACTTGCCTGAGATGAAAAAGCTGATTTCCTTTAGAGCATTGGGTTAAGTTTGGAGACATGGATTGATTTTGTCTGTCAAAAAATGAGGTATGCAGCATCTGCCAAGTATCGTAGGGTCAATTATTTTACCTTAATGTCTGGAACTTGGCTAATGGCTTAAACAAGTCTTTTAGAACAATCCTATTGAATGTTGCCTTGCAATGAATCGACGTGGGCGGATATAAGCTTTTTCGCAAAATCTGGGTTCTGAAAAGCTCTTCAATGGTAAGACTGATAAATTAGCTTAGTCAGGGGCTAAGCTTTCTGCTCCCCTAATCCAACTAAATGATCCTCTACTAATCTAAATTCTTTCCCTAGTATTAATAAATCTCGTCCAGCAGTTTTTAAAAAAATCCAGATTGCGTTGTAATGAGTTCCTCTCTTAAAACTTTTATAACGCTTTGCTGCGTGAAAATATTTACTCCTAGTTTTACCTAAATGTTCCATTTGCTTTAACATTTCGGTGCTTAGAATGTCTAAATTATTGTCGTAAATTCAGTGTTTTCTGTCCGTTTCGAAATCCAGATTCACTTATTGACAAAGGGCCGTGTAATTACCTTCTAATTGTGCTCTAAATCCTGAAATTAACGCACTTCAAAGCCTAAGCTGTAGCGTCAGTAATTTAAGCAAATAAAGTTACCACGTGTTTTACAGCTTCGGTTGATGAGATATCTTCAAAAGTGCAGATTCGTGTCCATTAGCCCTGTCGCCGTAAACGCAAACACCCTGCCTTGCCCTATAACTAACGTCAACACGATTAGGATATTTAAATTATCATTGAAGACAACTTGTGATTACAATTATAGTTCGTAATGCATTGGGCTTCAGAATTTTCAAGTTTCAGCAAGGTGTGTAACAGATATTCTTTTCGAAAAAAATTTGCACCATAAGCTGGTGAAAAGAATATAATATTTTAGCAAAATACCTACATGCATAAACGTTCAATTCACGATTTTTCAATTGTTACGAAGGCACGTAATCATGCGGTCAATTTTTAGAAGCTTGTCGTTTCACAATGAGCCTCCTTGTAATTCGTTGTTCACAAGACACAAGAAACCTAAGTTACATTAAGTACAATATACAAAAATTAAAATAATTAATATTTGGACGAAATATGCTAAGCTCTTGCATAGTTTTTGTTTGAAGTCGTTTTTGATTTGCCCGCATTGCTTATTTCTCCAGGTCGTAAGTTTTGACGTGTCAGGTCGTATTAGTTTTTTTTATGTGACATGATAGTAGTTATTATCCAGATATGCTAATTAAAGTGATAGTTTGACTGCTAAGGGCGCTTCGTTTCAACAATTTTTTTGCTGTGTTTAAGGCTCACTGTAAACAGGATTTTTATTTTCAATTTGAAGTTACCACATTCTGTTGCTTTTAAAATGGGTTTTATAAACTTTTGTAGTAGCCATAATCCACATTCTTTGTTAAGATGAATGATGTCTGTGTATAACCGAAAGACAATCTGGTTTATTTTGTCCTTTGCCTTCCAACACTACCATTGATTTCCCCCCTTTTACCTACCAAAAATAATGCTTATTAATACGCAAACAGCGTGTTATTTGAACTTAGACTTCTTTGACGAAGTTTAAATATGTTGTGTTCCTAAGCCCACTTGTTCATTTACGCGACCACATACATGAATTGTCTCACATAAATGGATTTTGTATGTTTTGTGATACTAAAGATTTAAGAGGCTGTTAATGCAGGATAGAGGTAGGCGGTTATACCGAGCGACTTAGCTTTAGGGGATCGTGCATTCATTTGAGTCTTGGTTTTAAGGTAACTGTAACTAAAGCTTCAATTAAGTGCGCTCGGTGTCCATTACGTTCGAGAGTTTTTGCGTTTTGCTAACTTTCCTGTCGCAGTTTTGAAAAAAAGCCTTCACATAACGTGATTCTACTTTTTTTCAGAAGGGATGCGAAGTTCAGGCGCAGAAACTGCTTGTTATACTCTCGTGTCATTAACCAGTGAGAGTAAGTTATACACGGAACAGAAGTTGCGTGAAGACCTTCAAAGCGAAAATGTTTCTGTCAAACGAGAAGCTCTTAAGGAGCTTATTCGAAACTCAATCAATGGCGAAAAATACCGCGACCTGCTCATGATTGTTATTCGTTTTGTGATGCCTTCACAGGACCACACAATAAAAAAACTCCTCCATCTATTCTGGGAGGTAGCACCCAAGTACTCTGCTGACGGCAAATTGCTTCATGAGATGATCCTTGTTTGTGATGCCTACCGTCGTGACCTTCAACATCCTAACGAGTACATACGGGGATGTACGCTTCGCTTCTTATGCAAGTTAAAGGAACCAGAGCTACTTGAACCTCTCATGCCGTCTATTCTTCTCTGTCTAGAGCACCGTCATGCGTACGTCCGACGTAATGCTGTCTTGGCTATTTTCACAATCTACAAAAATTTTGAGCATCTTATTCCCGACGCCCCGGAACGGATGCTGAATTTCCTAGAACAGGAACAGGATCCCTCGTGCAAGCGTAATGCTTTCCTCATGCTTTTACATGTCAGCCAGGACACAGCCGTGCAGTATCTTTCGCGTTGTATTGATGCCGTGGACACATTCAGTGAAACTATGCAGTTGGTTGTTGTCGAGTTAATACATAAGGTGTTCCGCTCACACCCCTCTGAAAAAGTCAAGTTTATTCGTTGCGTTTTCTCCCTTCTTAATTCTACAAGCTCCTCTGTACGCTATGAGGCGGCTACAACATTGATTACGCTCAGTGGCGCCTCTCCAGCCATTCGCGCATCGGCTTCGTGTTATATTGATCTCATTCTGAAAGAGTCTGATAATAATGCAAAGCTTGTTATTCTCAACAGTCTTATCGGGCTACGCGTTCAGCACGAAAAGATTCTTCAGGAACTTGTCATGGACGTTGTTCGGATCCTAAGTAATTGTCCCATTTTCCCATTATTTTGTCTTCGTTGGCGAATGAATGATTGCACGTGCCACAAGTCTTTGTGTTGATGGTTACATGTCTTTATTATCTTAGCATATCATAAAAACGAAATGCCAGTGACATCCAAAAAGCTTAAGGTAAGGTTAAGCTCTTTTTTTAATAGGCTGAGTAGTGACTTCCAATTATTGTTTTTTTTGTGGCTTCTATTTTAGGGTAGGCGACGCAAACCATTTATTAAGGATTTTTAGAAGGGTCCCTTGCTTTAACATCAGTTTTGGGTTTTTCAAGTTTTTAATGGTTTGTCAATATAAACTCTGGTGGTTTGGGACTCAAATGAATTAACATGGCACCAGTTGAGATGTTAAGTGTCTACAAATTTTACATAGTCGTGGGAGATGATCTTAGTCACATGGTTTATTTTCTTTAAGACGCGTCAGACGTGGAGTTGAGGCAAAAGGCCCTTGAACTGATTTTCGATCTCGTTACCACGCGAACGGTTGATGATTTAATAGGCTTCTTGCGAAAGGAACTGATTAAAACATGTGCATCTACGCCCTCTACTACCACTACTACCCCCTCTGGTGAAAACAGCAGCGATTCTACGAATAAGATCTCTAGCGATGAAGATACCTACAGGCATGCACTGGTTCGGACACTCCGAGCCATTTGCCTGAAGTTTCCAAATTCTTTACCTGCTATCCTTCCGACTCTATGCGACGTAAGCTTTCCGTCACCATTTAAAGTATTTTGGCCTATTGAATAGGTATAAACATTGTTCAAAATTTATAGTCAATTTTTGCGTACAAGCCTTGTGGGACATTGTCAATTTCCACTCCTTTTATATTCGTAACCAGGCTTGTTTTGGTATCTCCGTAGAGAGTCAGTAGAGCAAATCGGAAGACCATGGGAGCGTCCACAGCCCTATTATCTGAAACGCCTTTAGGTGTACCGTAAGCCCCACATTTTCACAACACGTTAGAAGCTGCTGCAATGCCAACTTAGAATATGGGACATTGTATGTGTGTCAGGTGTTGAAATTAAGCTTCCTGTCTGCCTGTGTATTGAAGTAACACGGGAAACAATTTTCATTAATAGTTGTAAAGATTATTTTCGAGTACACCCTTAACGTGTTTGCTTGCTTTGGTTTCTGTAGACTCTAACATACACCGAACTTCAGGATTCAAAAGCAGCCGTCGAAATCTGTCGTTTTTTGCGGGACGATGTCTATCGCCACCCACATCACAAGGCGCTCATCTTGGAAAAAATTTTGCAAGTTCTTCCCTCTGTTGCCGGTTTCGAAGTTTTAGGGCACCTGCTTTGGATCTGTTGCGAATTTTGCTCGATTAAGACTGATATTCTCGAATTTATGCAGGTTGTTCGTCAGGCAAGTGCAGTCCGATAGACAACAAATTAGGTTATAGCCGGAGTTGGTTGCAATTTTTTTTTAAATTCAGTGTCTTGGTCCACTTCCATTGGTTCAAAAGGAGGTGGCTAGAGTTGCCGCTGAGTTCGGCCCTACGTCCGAAGAAAACGGTGACACTGGTGAAAAGTGCGACTCGGCCACCCCTGCTGAAGCTCCTATAAAAAAAGTAACAGCTGATGGTGCCTATGCTACCCAGTCTGCCCTCACCATCGGTAAGTTCTTTTCATATGAGTATCCTTCTGATTGATTGTATTATTCTTCGCAATATGCTTTCAATGCGCCGGTGTCCTTTAGTCTGCCCTTCTACACTACGGGATTACCTTTTTCATGTATCCATTGTGAATGCCGGTCATTCACTCTAAACTCCTCGTGAATCAACTGGAAGTGATTTTCGTTGTTAGCGCAAAAAGCGGCCATTGGAAATTGTCAACCTAGTGAACTAAGCCGCCGTTTCCGTTTGGTACCCAAAACTTGTTAGTATCCTATTCTGAAGCTCTAAATGCTTAATTTTTCGTAAGAGTTCCCTGGAATTTCACTCATTTTTGATAAACAAATCCTAATCGGAGAGGAAATTTTTTGCCCTAGGGCCTTCGGGTGTTGACTATTTCCTTTTTTCTCTTTTACCATACTAGGATCCGGTGCTTCCTCAGCTGATAACTTCAAACGCCCTGTTATTCAGGCCGCTCTCTTCACCAACCACTTTTTTGTCGGTGCTGTACTCTCAGCCGGTTTGGTCAAGCTCTACAGTCGCTACATTAGTCTTGTCGATAGTTCCGAGTCGGGTGTTGAAGCGAAGAACAAGTTTTCCGCCGAGTGCATGCTAATTATCTCAAGCATTATCCATCTGGCTCGTAGTGGGCTCGTTACTCGTCATGTCAACCCCGATATTATCGACCACATGTGGACTTGCTTGGTGGTAGGTTATATATTTAAACAAATATTAGTCGTTCCCAATCTATTGACTGGTCCTAATGCTTTATGTGCTAAGACTTCAGAAGCTGTCCAGCCGCCTTTGGTGATTAAGACTCGATAACTTAATTCCCTATTTCTCAATGCATTTTGGCTAATGTGTTTACAGTGTTTCCAAATGGGCGGTTTTAATTAAAGTGTGTTGTCATAAATGGTATTATTGGCAGAACCAATCCGGTTTTTCAAAGCCCTTTCAGTGTTATTCCACTAATACAAGGAATCGTGAATACTGGTTCTTTTTCAGACATTATTAGTGGTAGGTTTATTCCAATAATTGAAGGGGTAGTTCTCGCAAGCACGTCTGCTTCGTCAAATAGTGTGCGCTCACTGTCATTGCTCGTTGCATACATTGAGTAAATCTGCAGCCTGCTCCTGATTTCGTTTTTTGTTATCTCAGATCGGCCAATTCATCTATCCCAGTATAGAAGGGTGTATTTCCATTTGCCTACCGTGCGTTACCATCGTTGACTTTTTGACCTTTTTAACACTCCATTTAGGTTGAGGTATATGCTAACGTTGGCAGAGCCTATCCGTTTGCGCTTTTTGCAGGCCCTCTCAGACAGTCGTACGAACGTGGCGAGCGCTTTTGAGAAGCTTGGTCGTGGTGTTCTCGGCGAGATGTTGGAAATCCAAGAAGCAGAGGCCAAAGCAGAAATGAAGAAGCGCCTTGCCATCGTCAACAACGAGCTTTCCGCATCTTCGGTGACGAAGGTCAACAAAGTAGATACCCCTGTCAACTTCAGTATGCTTGTACCCCCTGGCGAAGATCAGAGTGAACAGGTCGACCAGTTTACTCTGACTCTTAGTCAAGCCCTCACAGGTACTGCTAAGACTGGTGACGCTTATGCCACATCAAAACTCAAAAAAGTACGTTTCCTTTTTAAGTGATATCAACAGTCAATTTTGTGTCGCAACCTCTACGTTTATCGACGCAGTAGTTCCCACACTGTGCCTGTTTGTGACTTTGAGTTATCATTGCACATCAATTCTGTGGGGTATTGACAGTGTGGGCTCAAGCGTTGGTTACTAATTGCGAAAGTCGGTCTCAATTTCGAGTTCACCCTTTTGCTATACTCGTTTGATGAAGAGTTCGATAACAGCGAAAATGTGTCCTTACTGTTTAGCCGAGCTGTTTGTGAGGTAATTCATTAAGCTACTGTTGTCAGTGCTTACTTACATAGTTTGTATCGGTATCACACGTTGAGTCCTGGGTTGATAGTTATGTCGACATGAATGCGGTTACTTCCCGTTTGTGAATTAATCTCATTCGCCAATGATTTGTATATCTGAATCCAGCATCTTGCAAAAAAGCGATTTGTGTGTTTCTTGTAAGCAGCACTAGAGGGTTCTGAGTACATAAGTTGGTGTCAGGCCAGGGAAATAACCGGCTAATTTAAAATTGTCAGCGTTATAATCTCTCTTATCTTTTACTTGAAATCCAGAGCCCTAGAGACGAGGAATTTCACTATAGTTTCATTAGAGCACTTGGAAGCGCATTGGAGGTAGAGTCGACGAGGTTTTGACCGCTGCACTATTTGAGGATTAAGTGGTTACGATTATTGAAACACTTGGGTCATGCCTCCGCATGGTGTTCAAGTAAATTTAAGAATCCAAAACGAGTGTACAGTCTATCCAAAATACATTTGTCATTGTCCTCTTAGGTCCATCAACTGACCGGATTCTCCGACCCAGTCTACGCCGAAGCTTTCGTCAGTGTAAATCACTTCGACATCGCCCTCGACGTGTTGCTCGTCAATCAGACCAACGACACGCTGCAGAACCTCACCTTGGAGCTCTCTACTCTAGGCGACCACAAACTGGTTGAAAAGCCCCGTGCTATTACCCTGGCTGCACAGGACTTCGCCAACATCTGTGCCAATATCAAGGTGAGTGTTGAGTGCAAATACTCGTGTTCCAGTCTCGTCATGGGGTTCTGCGCTCTTAACTAGTTGCCCTTGATTAAGCATTCCCCGAGTGCATCTGCGCGGGGAACACAGTCGCGTACTTGAGGAATTGGCTTATTAAAGGAGAAGTAGGACACCAAATTAGTTTAACGATTTAAGTGGGGGCTAGCGAAGTCATCGACACTATACTCAATCCGCGGTAGCACAGTCGTTCTGGCATGTTGTTAAAGGATTTCCGTCGTGAATCAAATTTGCACTTCTTTTACAACTAAATAAA